AATAAAAAAAAATCAGAAAAATGTTCAAATTTCAGAAACTCTCCCTATTTTTCAGAAGATCTGACCATTCTGTTTGAGTCTGTCGTCATTTATTCAAAAATGATTTCGAAGAAACACAAAAAGCAATGACATAATATCTACGTAGAATTGAAGGAAAGGTTTCAAAAATCTAATGAAGAAAACTATGTCTACTTCGTAAAATATAAGACAAGCAATTCAAAGAATCACACGATAAATCTTTCTTTATTCACTGATGAATCATATACATAGTACATGTCAAATATATTAGCTCAACAATACTCTTTATTCATATACATACAGATGCTTTTTCTCTTCTTCATTAGCTAGTTCATTTTACTGCCTGTGAAATGTTCATATAAATGGTATACTCGTCTGCTGTATCTGTTCATAAGACGAAGTTACATATATTTGTTTTTTAACGATTTATATCCTCCAGTGTACATGTGCAATATATATAAATTGTTTTAAAAATTGTTTATCAAAAGAAAAAATTCAATTAACAACTGGACAAATTAAATACAACTGCTGTAAATGTTTTTTTTTTATTTTAGTTTATTATGTTATCAAATGCGAATTTGTTCCTGATAATGCTGCAAGTAAGTTGTTCGTAATACAGAAAAAACTTTACTTCTCATTTTGTTAGGTTAATGAGAATAGTAATTACACTTGTCGTATACCTTTCACGTTTTCGATACTGGACAATGTTTTGTAACATTAGTGCATTAGTGAAAAGAGATAGAAGGAAATTCGTTTTTGTTCACTATCGAATTCATTAGAGATTAATTAGATTTATAAAGCTTTAGCTGTTTCACATAGAAATCGTATAGAAGTAACTAATAATACAAGTCACAGTCTGTTCAATTGATTTAGTTTAACATCTCATAGACACGCTTCAACTTTAATTGCTTGATGCTCGAAAAAAAATACTCGCATTAGTTTATCTATCGATTAGAAATTGTTGATGTATGTTTATTGCAAAAATCAACAAGCTTTGAGAGCGACTATACTTAATATTCAAAATATAATGTCTTATCTGATCTGTAAAATATAATGTTAATGTTAACAATCAATGAAGAAAAAATACTCATAATATGTATCGACAATACCGATTTTCTTAAGATAATAGAATTGGCTTTTGATCAATTTAATCATTTTATGAAGAGTTTTTTCTATATAAAATGACTCTCACCCGAAAAAGATTGCTTCTATGAAACAATATTTTTCTTTGTTCAGTATGTTCGAATCTTCTTTACTACTCATCTCTGGGTCACCTTAGATAAACTGAATATTTGATTTTAATAGATTATTTAAGTATGAGAAAGGGATACTAATATTCTCTAAGTAACAAATCAATAACTAATTGTTTCCAGTTAATCAATGACTGCTTTAGTTATGATGCGAAAAGAAACGAAATTATGTTTTTTTTTTATATCTATAAATAAAGTAATGACAACAAATAACGTTAAAGCTGATCTCTGTCAAGATTTCAGTGGATTTGAAATTCATTTTCGTTCTACACAATATTTGTTTTCTGACAACAGTCATAAAGAGACTGAGCTTATTTAGAACTCGTGAAATTCGAAGAGAAACTAGCCAATGAACAAGTTCAATGTTTACAGCTATGTAAGTATACCTATTCTATTTTGCATGCTTCTCAATATGAAACTGTTTCAACTTGATTTTACAACAAACATATTTGAGAGATCAAAAGAAATTCATAAAATTGTCATAGAATAGAATAATAACGAGTTTCATTTTTGTATGGACCTGTTAGTGAGTTAAGTCTATATGTGTCAGTCTCTATTTACATTTTTGTTTATTGTATAAAACTGATGTTTTGATCCTAGTATGGTGAAAACGAGATTCGTACAACATTGATATGAAACATCTACCATGGCATCTAAGTTCAAATAGTAGTTTCGTTTTATTCAACCCATTTTATAGCTTGTTATTCTTTTTCAATCACAACATCAAATTCTCTCTTTTAGATTATTAATAAAATTGACCATGGTTTATCTTTGATTGCCTGATGCATTTGGTTGTTTTTGGATAACGAGTTCAAAGTATATAACAATATTAATAATTGAATGTGTTTACTTTTATTCTATTAAATTGAGATTAGTTTGCAACAGATTTCATCGATGTCTTAATTTTATATCGACTTTCATCGATCGACTTCGTTCAAATAGTACTGTTGATTTCTATGTATTTTTGATTATATATGTATATCTTTTAAATATAAAATAAGATTGTTCATAAAAATAAATATTAAATAACGAATGAAATATCATAGAATTTCTGTTTTTTGTGTGTTTGGAATAAAACAGTTAACCGAATTTGTTTTCTATTAGATATACTCAAGTCAATATCTCAAAAATCTTGATTGTGTTTGAAATTTTTTTCCATATAGAAAGAGCTTTCTTAGTCATTAGGTGCAAACTTATTTCTGAAGCAAGAAATCAATATAGGATAGTTTTAAACAGAATCGAGAAAACTTTATATTCCATTGTTTTTCATTTGATATTCAGCCATCAATTCTATTATCAAAGATACTTTATTATAGTTTGTGTTGATAAAACTAAGTGCAGAGTTACACGAAAAACCAAAAAATAAAAAATGATGCCTTTAATGCACCTTAGTACTAACTTTGGTTTAACTCGTGTTGATAATGATAATCGAGAATATAGCTGACCTTCTTTATAATCATATGATTAATAAAGAAGAATTATACTTTAAGAGTTCTTTTTATAAAACATGTTAATGTACAAGACTAATTGTCACAAACTAATGCATCCTTTCTTAACAAAAGGAAAAATAATTTTTTTTTCGTCAAGCTCAATTGGTTTTTCATGTTGTTGGTTCCATATATTAGTTTTTCATTAATTTGAGTATGAATATTTTTGATCATCAAATCTATTATTAATAAAATAACAATCATACTCATACAAAAATAGATGAGACAAAATAAAATGACACAAATAGAAAAAAAATAGCAGAAACAGAGAGATCATCTCATAAGCATAACTCATAGTAGCAATGGTGTTCAAACTTTGCTTGGGTAGCCTAAATTTGTTCATTACCTAATGGTGTATAACGAGTTTTATCTGTGATTCGATACATATTGAATAGAAAAGTTATTCCAACAAAATATTAACATCTGTATTCTTTAAATGCAATTGAGGTTTAGATCTAGGTCTTCTGTTCACCAACACCTATACCCATTCTTAATAAATATTCACAATTAATGGATTCATTTTGATCAGATAAGATTATCATTAAAATTTAACTTTGTTTTATCGATCGATTAGCTATGAAGATAAATGTACCATCTATTGTTCATATGTACTAACTCTCTATCACCGATTTCGGATTGATTCGTTTAATTATAAAAAAATATCTCTTTCTTTGATGATTAGAAAACGGTTTTACATTCGACGCTAGTCAAAAAAAGGAACAGAAAATAAATTTTATTATTGATACACAAGAATCATTATCACTTTGAAGACATAAATTGTATTTTGTGCAAGCAAATTTCTATATCACGTCAAACCAAATCTTATGGAACATTATAAATAAGAAAAGTGTATACGTGAGTGCAAATGTATTTAGTTTCTTTTTCATTACTATCAATGACTAACAATAGGCATTAATTTGTAATTCGCTCTTTTGTGAAGATCAGTTTTTTTCTTTCTTCTCGCATACCTTTTCATATTTGACAAACTTTTGTCGAACAAAAGTTTGCAAAGATAAAGAGAATAGTACTTTGAGTTCGAAACTATTTTTCATGTTGAACGAATCTTGAGAATATAATGTCAATGTTCTTTATTCAATAGATAATAAAGTGTATTTGTCAAGCATAAAATATCATGATTAATAGCGATGTGATGAGACATGATTGCATTATAGAGAAAAAAAATGTTAAGTCTATCGACGCAAAAGTAATTTCATTGTCGTAATGTCGATTTTATGAGTGTATACAAAAATACAATGCTTTACAAAAAGAAAAGAAAAGGCTATCGTGTAGCAGGTATGACGAGCTATACCATGTTTGTTAGATTTTCCCAATGCCCAAGAAAATTTCTTTTCAATTTCGATACTTTTCTAGATTGGAGCGTTTATGAATTCGATCAAAACTTTTTATTTGATTTTTATCATTATTAATGCACTGTCATTGTTCTACAGTAGTCATTATATAAGACAGAGTTTTGAAACTACTAATAATGCATGCTCAATTCAATCTAAAGCCTTTTCGAACTAAACGGAACACTTCATATTGTAAAAAAGAGCCATTTTAATAAATTATTTCTCCGAATTCGAAGTAAATATTAAGTTTAAGACGATGCTTTTTTTACGGGATAATTCTCACGTGTTATAATGAATTAGATTCAATCATGACAGTTGAATTTGAAAGTTCGAATATGGATATAAGTAAGATAGAAGAAGAGAAAGAACATCCATCGGCAACAGTTTTTACGGACAATACTGATATAATGAAACATATTGCAGTCAAAACAAAGATTGTATATGTGTTTGAACTTCAAATAACTAAGTGCCGAAATCGTTTGTTTTCTGAAATGGTAATAAAAAAAATATTTCAATTGAGAACTTTTCAATCTGATTATTTTGAACGATATTCTTCTTTCTATGATTAAATCAAGTGTACGATTTTTTTTATTCTCTCTAGCACTTCAGATTTTTCTCTATCAATACTTTCCATCTGAACATTTGTGACTTTTTCTTAAAATTAGATGAATATAATGATATTGCATTGAAAATTTTTTGTTTTAATTCATAAGTACTAATTATTAATCATTACTATATACATTATGCATATTGAAACTGGCATAAACGGAATCAATCAGATACAAAATAAATGTACAGGATTACTTAAGAATAGATTTCGTTACTATCTTATTTATACTGGTCTTGTCTTGTTCGGTATCACTTTACTTCTCTTTTGTAATAATAAACAATCAACTATGATTCCTTCAATTAATCGACATTCTCGATCTATTATTAATGATTTTATTTGCTCCGTACAAGAAGATAAATGGATTGTAGTTACAACTATTTTTTATCCAACCAAAGCTATGTATACATTTCTTAATTTAACTACTCAATGAAATTTAATTGTTATCGCTGATCGAAAAACACCAAAAGATTGAATCTTACATCTTTCTATAAATTCTTCTCGATTTATTTATGTTAGTATCGAACAACAAAATATTCTCAATTTTCGTCTCCTTCATTATTTACGATATGGATCATATGCTAGAAAAAATCTTGGTTATTTAATTGTTATTAAATATGGTGCTAAAATTATTTTCGAATCTGATGATGATAATCTAGTTGAAACAAATGATATTTATTTATTACCAAAAATTGTTCAACAAAAACATGTTCCATGGATAGGGATTTCATCAACAATGATCATCATTTATTAACATCTATGGATCATTTGGTCATCCAAATATATGGCCAAGAGAATTTCCTATTGACGAAATAAGAAACATCACTGAAGATGGATGGCATTCAGTTAGAAAAAAAAAATCTTGAAAATAATACTTATGCTTATATTCAACAATACCTTACTGACCTTGATCCTGATGTTGATGCTATTGTAAGTTCTTTTGTTCTTTTTGTGTTTATTAGTTTGATATATCAAGCAAATTTCTGTTAACGAATAGTGCAAAAGTTACTGAACAAAATGTCTCCTCATTAGAATCAACCGACAAGTTAAAACATTGAATCAGAATCAGAATAAAGTACTCTTTTCGAAAGTATATTCAAATTTTTTGTCAGATATATGCATTTGGAATTATGAATAAAGCTCTGAAGAATTTGAAAATAAAATCTGAATGAAAACAATAGCACTAACAGATCTAGAATAGGTCAAACCTGATTGTACACATTTGAAAATGATTTTTGTACTACTTTATTATTTTCGTCAGAAATATGTCCAATAGTTAAGTTTCATTGTTTTTTGCTTGATTGCATCATATTCTGACTTTTTTAAGATTAGCATCTAGACAATACACAAGTTGTTCATAGTAATAATGCATCTGTTGAATACTTTTTATTACCAGTCTTTTTTTGTAAGAGCGTAGTAAGCATGAGAGTCCTATAGAAACTAAGCTAAGAGAGAAAAGTTTCATAGCAATCGTTCAGAAATAATCGAACTGGTTCTGTAAGTCTAGAAATCATAGAGTCTCAACGACGGCAATGCATTGTTTACCAAAAGTCTTATTATTGATAGTAGCGTCAAAAAGAAATAATGATTTACAATAACATTTTGCTCATAAATGCTTGCTATAATAAATTTTACTACTACATTGGATAATTTTTTTACGTACTGACACTTCTGCATAGTTTATTTCTGGAGCTTCTAAAGATTCGCTCATAAATCCTAAACTATGAATCTTATATAATATGCAACCATAATTCAGAAAGGCTCGAGAATTCTAATTACACTCTAATGCTTTTAATCTTCTACTGACTGTCGTAATCAATCGACAAATAAAGGAATAGATTGTGCAGAAACTGTCGTACTAATAACCATTATTTTACATAGCATCGTTTATCTCATCCACTTTCAGTTGGACATATTCAATTTGATCGAGATCAACCCCCTATTGCTCTTGAACCATTTACATTTTCTCCATATAATACACAAAATACAATAACATATTATGAAGCATTTTGGGGTCTTTATTTACCTATTACAACAAGATTTCGTGTATGTGATATATGGCGAAGCTTTTGAGTACAACGATTTCTTTGGGATATTGGTGGTCATCTTATATTTGGTAAATCGACTGCTAAACAAGTAAGAAATAGTCATTCATTCATTAAAGATATGGATGATGAATATCAATTATATCATCAATCTGGTTCATTCGTTAGTTTTCTTGTTTCATGGTCATCATCTTATAATTTACTTTCGAAAAGAATTGCTCAATTGGCAAAAGATATAGCTCAAGCAGGATTTTGGCAATCAAATAAAGTTGATATAATGGATGCATGGCTGACTGATCTCCATTCAGTTGGTTATTCATTTCCATCCATCGTTCAAACACCTTTCATCTTCTCCAGCTTCTATAGTACAAAAACGAGCAGCTATATGTGTAACTGGTCTTGCTGAATGTATTCAAGAAGCTTGGGCTCCAACTTAGAGCACTATTCGTAATCATCTTCAAAAGTGATATTGATGTATTTCTTTTTCTTTCATCATCTCGTAAATCAGAAACGATTCCTTTCGATGTTAATTGGAAACCAATACGTTCTTACTTGAATTCTACAGTAACTATACTTTATGAAGATCGAGTTATTGATCCAAATATACCATCGACTTGTAAAACTTTCTACTATCCAAATATGGATAGATCACATGTTATATCTTACTATCAACAATTGTGGAGACTTGCTGAATGCTTCGATTTAGTAAAAGAATACGAACAGAAAATGAATATTCGTTATGAATTGTTGATACGAGCTCGATCAGATTCAGTTCTTGATATAGTTCCTCGAACATTAGAACCTCTAAATAATTCGACATTAGTTAAACCAAATGAAAATGATTTTGGTTGTTATAATGATCGATTTTCTATTGGTTCTATGTCCATAATGGAAAAATATATGAGACGATGGCACGATCTTAGTCGTTGTCATGTTGAAAATTTACATACTGAATCATTTCTCAAATTATTTTTAAATCGATTTAATATTAATGTTCAACTTATGACAAGATTGTCTTATAAAGAACAACCACACGGTGATAGACGCTGTCACTAGATAAAAGAACATGTCATAGACCAATATTTAGAAAAAATTATTATTTAATGAAATAAAAATTTATGAGTCAAATATTTTAATCGTATTGTTTTTCTATTTCAAAGACCTTTAATACTAATGACACTTGCTTAGATTGTTTGGTATAACAATAATGAATAAAAAATTTTGAAGAAAAATTCAGTTTTTTCTGTTGTCTCGTGTTAAACATGAAATCCTAGACCACATAGATATTTTTTTTTGAATATTCAAGATGTTCAAAAAGTCACCTATCTACCAACGACAAAATGACTGCGAACAGTATTTTTGATAGATATTTTCATTAACAGTCAATCTCGAAAAATATAAGTTTTTCAAAAAATTTTTTTGTCTATAGAACTTTGCAGAGCTCGTTTCGCTGATCATTTTGGTTAAAAAAATCTTCACCCTTACTCAATAAATAACGCACCTTGGGTCAAAATACTCAAAAATATCAACTGTTACTCAACAACAGGCACCAACAGTCGAAAGTTTTGAGTATTTTAACTCAAGGTGCGTTATTCATTGAGTAAAGTTGAATATTTTTTTACCAAAATGATCAGCGAAACGAGCTCTACAAAGTTCTCTAGACGAAAAAATTTTTTGAAAAACTTATATTTTTCGAGATTGACTATTAATGAAAATATCTATCAAAAATACCATTCGCAGTGATTTTGTCGTTGGTAGTATGAAAAAAAAAACTCTAAGTTTCTACAACAGTTTAAATAAATCAAATAACTTTTTTTCTGATAATAAAGAAGACTGGCAAGTTTTTATGCACAAAGTTTAAGTTCATAAATAAATCTGAAAACTATATATTTCTGATTCAATACATGAATAATCCCTTCTTTTTCGAATTTTCGAAAAGTAAAATATGGAGCTTTCTGTTGTACCATTTCAATTGTGTTCGTTAAATCTGACATTTGGTTTTTCGAAAATTTGAAAAAAAGGAATTTTTTATGTATTGGATCCGAAATATATAGTTTTCAGAAGTGTTTATGAACTTTAACTTTATAAATGAAAACTTACAAATTTCCTCTATTATCAGAAAAATAGCCAATTGAATTCTTTTAACCGCAATGAAGATTTATAGTTTTCCTCTTGGTAGATGACTTTTCTAATGCTCTACCTATTCTTGCAAAATTTAATACAAAACTATATTCCTTTTTGGAAACTGTCCAGTTTCCTTGATTTATTTAATTACTCTTATCGAAATCGATATTCTACTGAGTTAACGAAATATTGACTTTTGACTATTGTCATGAATGACTCTCGGAGAAAAAAGAAGATATTTCCTTATTTTACATCAAGCTATATTGATGATGCAGTGCTATTTATCATATGGCTCATGTCATTTCTAACACACATATATATATATATATATATATATATAATTATATTTGCATGCATGTGAACATTTTATTTCCTTCTTTAACATATTCAGATTTTATTTCTTCGATTGCTCTTTTCATGTGAAAAATAATATGTTATGTGAAACGATAACTCACCTTAATATGCTATCAATTGCATGTGTTTTCTTAGTATATCATTGTCAAATAATGACAAAAAAGTTCATATAAAAGGAATATTAGATTAAAAATAAAATATTCTATTCAATAAAGACATTTCTGTTTGTAATAATCATCTTTTATTCAATATGTTTAATGAAATAAATGGCTTATTTCACAATAAAAAAGATTTTAAGTCATTGTTTTTTTGTTTTACATGTAATAGATGTTTTTTTTTTTGTTGTTCAAAATAATCTAACTATTGTATGCTAACAATTTCCTCTTATTTCTACTATTCATGATTCAAGTTTACAATATGTTCGTTTATGTACTGATGAGAACGTTCCATCATCTAATTTTAAACTTTATAATTCTTCACAAAATCTTCTTTACATTATTATCAATCAATCAATCGTCATCAAATATATCAACAGTTAATCATATTATAAATTTTACTCAATCATTAAATTTTCTATCATTAATAAATGAAATATGTTTAGATTCTCTAATTATTCAATCTAATTTGACTATAAATAATCAAACTACACGATTCTATTCATCATATGATATACCTATATTATATTAGAAAAATTCCAATTCGAACACATACGATTTTATTGATTTACTTTATCTTGATAGTCATGAATATACAACGAATTTCGGTATGTGTCGATGGACAGTTGATCGATGAAATCGTCTATTTAACAGTAACTTCCTAAGTAGATTATCTTATGATTATATTCTCAAAACAAAAAATACTTATTTAATACTCATCTTGATAGATAAAAAGGCCAGATTATCAATGTCTTTTGATTTAAACATACTTCATTGTATTCCATATCAATTAGATATAATGGAATTAGTTCTTATCATTTGTTTTAGTATTATATTCTTTTTACTAGAATAATATTATCTTATACTATTTCAAAGGCGAATATAATATGTAACGATATTTTTAATGAAAAACACCCAAGTCAAACAAACAAATGGTAAGATCTTGCATGATTGTTCATCTGATCTTGTATGACCTTGTAAGATCAGACGGAAATCGTACAAAAAATCGTGGTCTCAGAAGTCTTACTCTAAGATTCTTGACAGATCTTGTTGTCCTGTCAAATCTTACTGTTAGTTTATAGAAAATCTTGTGCGACGGTAAGATCTGACAAGAATCTTACAGTAAGAATTGATGTGAGATTTCTGACACCATAATTTTTTGTACAATTTAATATGATCGTACAAGACTTAATGTTAGATTTTTTGACCTGGACACGAGACAAAATTGAGAAAAGATTCAAGTCGTACAAATATATCCATATAATCCATTAAAGATAATAATAGAACTGTTCTAGATTGAAGCTAATTCATTTTTAAAAGTACATTGATTCTATGGATGCATCAAAACAAAACTATTCAGTTTTGAAGTAATGGTTTTGCTTTGATGAAAAAAAATCTGATATTAATAGAATCGGTTGCATGAATTTTGAGTCTAGAAATTTTCGACTCGTGTGATCTGTCGACTTTATGTCAAATCATATTATGGGTGAGTTGTGGGTGCGTTTAGAATTGATAACTGTAATTCTAAAACTAAAGATATCCATTGGAGTTTTCCTGATACATTTCGACCCAGTGAATGGATCTCATTCGGTAGAACTGTTTAGAATTCTCTGCTGTATTGCAGATGATACATCAATAGTTGAACTCTAGACAGTAGAAATTCCAATATTTGAATAGTTGATATATAGTTTTGACCAAAATAAGTAATAACCTATACGTATATTGTTCATCAAGATTCCATAGTATACGATATAACGATATATACAATTAACTAATCGCTCTCCTTTGTTAGTACATCAACGACTCTTTATAAAGGAATAAAAAGATCGTGACTATTTAGTATGTTATTCACTAAACGAATAATGCTGATCTCGGCACAAAGAAAACGTGGCCAATCATTCTTCACATACATCTTTTTAAGTATGTCAGTTTTACAATTATCGAACGATAAAGATCAACTTCTTGTCGATAGTTTTCGACATCAGCGAGAAAATAATAATCAAGTAATGTAGCGATAGAAATAGGTGTCATTATGGGTATCAATGAAAAGAAAATTGACACTCACGACCGTACCTCCACACGCACTTCATTCAGCGAACTTATAGATTATCGGAAGCAATCCAAAGAATATATGGACAAAACTAAAGTATATAAACGCATAAGAAGAAATGATCTATTACTTGATTTAATCCACCATACAACTAAATATTTATTAGAATTGTGGTTATCCAAGTGGATTACTCAAAATAATATGAACTATAATTTATTAACTCCAATGAAGTTGAATTAGCACACTTATATTGCCTGTCACAGACACAGAAAACTCTTACTCCTCTTCGTCTAATAATCTTCGATCTTAAACATCCTTCGAATAAAGATAACGAAATTTCTTGACAATTTTAAGTCGATTTTTCGTGTAGAATAATTATTTTTCTTATGATGGTCAATATTATCATTCGATTCGTGATGGAGCCATTGGTTCTCCTCTTGTGCAAATTATTGCTAATTGTTGTGTTCTTTTATGAAAAAGATATTGTAAAACGAATTTACACTAGTGGTGCATGGTATCTTTGCTATATTGATGATATATTTCTTGCAATTAACTAGCACTGATGCATCAATAATTTAATAATGTTTTGCCAAAGTTTAATATTGATTAACGCTTAATTATCAACAATTATAATATACCTTTGCGAAAAAAATCATTAATACTTCTACAAAAGAAAAAATACCAATAGATTATGAAAGAACATTGTTTATTCATTGCGCATGTTGATCCACCATGAGAGCATTTCCAAAAACTTTTGTGCTCTCAGGAATGTATATTTCGGTAAGTCTTCAATTAATGAAATCATGCCAGCTCTTAGTACATGTAATGTCAATAATTTCCAAAGACAATTAATACACATTATGATGAAGGAATACCTAGGTCTCTTTGAAAACTGTTTCATTTCAAATATTTTATATACAATCAATATGCCAATTCAGCTATTAAATATCCGATTATTTTGAAATTACAATCGTTTAATATTTAATGTTTTTTGCAATTTCAATTATGACATACCGGTTTCACTATGGTCCATGTTTTTAGTTCTGCAAGATACAGTAAGATTATCTGCATTCAAAATTCGGTTTATCTACAGGAGTACCCTACACTCGATATCATATTCATAGAATGATTTAAAACATATATATATTTTTTGATTGGTATTGTTCTCGTGTTAACAGATACAGCCGTAATACCTATTAAGTGAATATTATGCGCAATCAGATTGGTTAACATATTTATGAAAAATAATCAAACGAATTACCTGTCGTATTATCTTTAGTTATAACGCTTCTTAAAATGTATGTTCTTGGTATAATCGGCTTTCAAATCATTATCGAATTTGTTCTTATTTATCAATGTTCAGTGTCATCATT